GTCAAGTTTCAGTGGATGATCTTATTTTATTTCCAAAAACAAAATCCCCGTAATTTCGTCTCTATTCAATTTTAACCCCATCGTTTTCCTATAAATACTCTCCATCATCACCTAGAGTGGTCACAAGTAGGCAGCTACTACATATCCTAAATTCTAAGCTTATCATCAGCAGCTCTTCAGCATTCAGCAATGGCTAACGCCTGCAAGCTCCTCGCCCTTGTTCTCTTCTTCGCCCTTGTTGCCAAAGGTACACATACGTACATACATATATATATATATGCTATGATGACATGTACATGATCGATGTGCATATATACGTGCAAGCCACATCAATGTTCCGTTTCAAAATTTGGTCCATATCAAAGAATTCTTTGCATCCAAGATCATTGTTCCTACTACATTTTCATCTATATTGTACGGTAAAACATAAACATAATAATATATCAAAGTGGCATCGTATTATGTTTTGTCCTTAACTATGATCACTAAAGATATATTTGTTTTCACAATATCGAAATATTAAAAGCTAATTTCGCCGGGTTTTTTTTTTCGAACGGGCAGGATACGGGCAATGCTCGGTGGATAACCTAAGCCTGGGGTAGGCGAAGACGGGGCAGACGGTGAACGGCAAACCCGAGTGGAAAGTGAGTGTGAAGAATCCATGCCCATGCACCGTTATGAACTTGAAGCTGTCTTGTGTCGGGTTTCAGTCTGCGTCTTCCATAGACAGCTCTGTTATGTCCAAATCAGGCGATGAATGTCTACTCAACGGCGGCTCCCCTCTTGCCCCTATGTCTGTGTTCTCTTTCAACTACGCTTGGGACTCCAGCTTCGATCTCACGATCCTCTCCGGTCAACCCCATTGTTCTTAGATTTTTACTTTATACTCTTATATATATATATATATAAGTATCTTTTTCATCTTCTTGTTAGAAAAAAAAAACATGAGATTTTGATTCATGTCATCATAGCATATATATATATATGTATGTACGTATGTGTACCTTTGGCAACAAGGGCGAAGAAGAGAACAAGGGCGAGGAGCTTGCAGGCGTTAGCCATTGCTGAATGCTGAAGAGCTGCTGATGATAAGCTTAGAATTTAGGATATGTAGTAGCTGCCTTATTACTTGTGACCACTCTAGGTGATGATGGAGAGTATTTATAGGAAAACGATGGGGTTAAAATTGAATAGAGACGAAATTACGGGGATTTTGTTTTTGGAAATAAAATAAGATCATCCACTGAAACTTGACTGTTTTGGTTGGAGATACCTAGTATTTAATTGTTGAGGGATTCTATTTCTTTTTTTTTTATAGATATTTTCGTGATCAAATCGCCAAAATAATAAAACTTATATGGTAATAATAAATATTTGAATAATCGAATGAATCCTTTATTTATGGAAATTCATAACAAAATCTTCAAAAATGTATCTGTGACACCTCAATCTTATCTTATATAAAAGTATAGCAGATTAATATGGGAGAGACACGTGTCCCTTGTTAGAATATGAAATATTTTTTTCCAGAATTTTTGGTCAATTGAATAATTAATTCCTTATTATAATATTGCAGATTTTTCAATCAATTGAATAATCAATTTCTAATTAAAAAACGGTTTTTATGTTCAATGTATTAAATTTTTATTTTCTCTCTAAAGGATAATTCATAAGGGCCGAATAGAAAGATCATCGATATATGGAATATTGTTCGTATTATTATTTATATGCATATAAAGATAATGAGATATATAGAATGTTTAGAATAGAAATATATAAGTTCCTTTATTGTTTTATAAATTCATACATTTACTCATTTCATCTTTTAGAAAGAAACTAATATATATTTTAGAAAAAAAAATCAATACATATTTTAGAAAAGAAATAAGTGCATATTTTAAAATAGAATTAGATCAATTATGATGAAAAATATATATAACACACAAATATTATATAATTTTAGTTTTAATTTTTAGGATAAAAGTGACTAAATCTTAGTTTGTATATAATTTTATAAGATAAATTTAAAAATAAAATATATTATATGAAATTTTAAAATTAATAATAAAATTATTTAAAACTTGCATATATATAAGACGAGCTCGCTATAAGAGGTTACA